AATCACACCTGATCCCACATGTGGGATAAGAGATCACACATGTGTGAAATTGCATCACACATGTGGGATATCTTATCCTCACTTGAGTGATCTCATTTCTCACAAGTGTGATCTCAGATTACACGTGTGTAATCTGATGTCTCACTGGAGGGATCTTATGAGCTACATGCACATGCGTGATAATATGTGTGACCTGTGGGACCACAGGATCACACATGTGGGACCACAGGATCACACATGTGGGACCACAGGATCACACATGTGGGATCATATGTCACTCATGGGGAATCTCATGTCACACATGTGTGATACGAGATCACACATGTGTGACCACAGATCACACATGTGTGACCTGTGGTACCCCAAATATGTGACTCTAGTTTTCCTCTTATTCAAAACATTCTAACTAAAATTATGTAATTCTAATTCTCGAAATCATCAAAGTCCTACTCCGTTCCATTCTTCCTCCTCATCTATCTCATTTACAATCTGCGTGTTGATAGCATCTTCATCAAACTCATGCTCATTTTCATTATTTCCATCAACATCCACATCAGATGCGATCTTCTCTAACTTAAAAAGATCTGCATTAATATCATCCAGCCATTGTGATCGACTCCTATTCATTCGAGCAAATCCAAGCTTGAGAGTTTCATGAGGAAGTGTCGAACCTGGCATTTGTACTAACTTGATGTCGTAACCTCTAGCTTTGAAAATGGCTTCGGGGTCTGGGCCATGGGGAAAGCCTTGATCATGTCCTAGTAAAGAAGCTGAGAAAGAAAAGTTCATAAAGCAATGAAGAGAGGATGAATAAAACTTGAACTTACATAGTTTGCTTCTTAAGGTCGCCGCAAGCTTTGACTTCACTACATCACCAGCATCAGCTTTTCTCCCGCATTGTTTATGCTTGACTTTTCCTCCAATGGTTTCCGCAACTGTCTCAGCGACAGAAAGTCCTTGTGCAGTTGCTCCAAACAATGTTGCAAAGTTACATTTTTTATTAACATATGTGGCCATATCTTCATGCGAAGTGTACTCTTTGCACCACCCGCGTGAAGAGGTATCTACTTCGGTTGAAGCATAAGTGCTACATGCTAAGAGATAGTAACTGAATCCCATATTTTTCGATTCGTCTTCAATCTGTTGACGTGTTGATAGATGTGAATATCTGTGAATATCACTAGGTAAGGATGAAATATATGAGGGCTTCACAAACCTGTTTGTGAAGCCGCTCAATACATTTGAGCGACTGCCGGTTAAAATCCGGAAGAGTAGGACCTTGAGATTTACCGGATACCGATTTGCTATACTCTTTAGCTACTTTCGCCTTCCAAACCAGCTCATCATACAAAGCCTCAAACTCAGCACGTTCCCCTGGCTCAAATTCAAAAGCATGAATAGCCTCTTCGACTTCGGCTTCATCATCAGATTCTTCTAGGTCATCATTAACTTTAATAACTGCTTTAGTATAAGTGAGGCCGGAGAGCGCATAAAATACCGGGGGGGGAAATACTTCTCGGTGACGTAGTGGCATTGCCGTCCATTTTCCTCCTAGTATACGATTTTGGTTGGCTAAGATACCTTTCTCACCGCCCTTTTTTGGCACTACATTTGAATACATGGATTAATATCTTTTGATCATAAGGAAGATGTGTAGTAATAGAGACTTACTGCGCTCAGGTCGGATCTCATTGCTATACTTCAGGAAGATTTGGTAACCGCTAGGTCTGCGGCGACCTCCAAGCTCTCCTCTTTTTAATAAAAAATGCAAACAAAAACTTCATCAACATCTAACCAAGGAGAAATCGTAGAAGAGAATACGTACAAAGCCTTATCAATAGTAAACATACTAACATTGCCCATGATTGCTAGCAATGACTTTTGTTGTTTGTAAAGTGATTGAATCGCTTTAGCTTCCTTCAATATATCAGGTGGTACCACATTTTGCTTTTGCTTTTGTTGTCGTTCAACCACAGCAATCCGTGGAAGAGGCCATTCATCAATAACTTCCTTATAGTTTGTAACACTCGGTAGGTTATCTATGTCTTCTATTGAAGAGTCGTGCTGGGTGACTTCGGTGGTATTGTTGACAGGGTCACGTGTATTCGTCGCTTCAGGTGAGATTTGTCTGGAAAGCCGGTCTAAAAGTTCATCATCATCGACAGATTGAACGTGTGTTTGACGCCGATTGCGTCTGGTTGAAGATCCACGGGGCTTGAGGTCCACATCGGTGTCTGATGAGTCACTGTCTTTGGATGGTTTGTAGTGGTCATCATCCTCCTCCGTATTTGAGATACGGCGCAAACGCTTGCGCGAAGTTTGATGCAAGTGACTTTTGCCCATTGAACGATTTGGGCTTGCTTGGATCGGTGAAACAGGTTTTCAAAGGGGACGTCGAGTTTTTGGCATATTGATGGTTGGGAAGAAGTGGGCGGACAAAGGCGGTTGTTAAGGAGAGTATTTCAAAATCGTGAAAAAATGGAGAACCATTCCTTGTACAGATACAGCGTACAGGAACTGGGTAATTCTATATGTACAGTACACCATGAATATCCGAGTACACCTTATTTTTCATTGGGAAAAACTTCTCACACTAGTCCAAGCAAGGGGTTCAAAGCACTTTATTGAACCCTTGTTTGATATATGGGGCCAAGATATCTATCCGGTTGAGAACCGGAGATGTCTGTGCGAGCTGCTATGAAATTTAAATTACTCATTTGCCTTGCTCAGCGACTATCAACTTTGACTCCGCATCCACTCGTCGCAACTTTCGAAAATGGGCAAAGGAAAGTCGATTTATTGTCCGCTTGGTCAGAAGAAGAAGAAGAGGCGTGTGGAATCTCCTCGAGGCTCAGCAATCGTTGTTGCTCGAGTTGAAACCAGCCAAGCTCAGTACGTGAAGAACCGGCTTGAAGAACTCAAAGTGGCTCTCCAACAAGCTGGTGCTGGTTTGAATAATCCTACTGGACAAGGTCGAGACGATGCTATAGCTGACCTTTCCCACGGCAACAACCGTGGAAGTGATGAATTACCCCAGATTCATACGGATGACAATGATGACAATGATAACCACGATTACGAAACTCATGCGGATGCTGCCGTTGTACCAAATGTCAACATTCCATTCACCCAATACGTCGAAGGGTCTTATTATAAAAGCAAGAGATTGAAAGAACATGCAAATTGGAAAAAGTCCTTACCTGAAATGTTCATTTTGTATATGACATTATCACAGGTAACCTCACAATGGGGTGATACTTCAAAATGGGATCAAGATTTCAACGAGGAATGTTGCTGCGGTGTTGGTGATCTACGTGCTCGTAAGGTTGATATGGTGGATATCCTGGGTGTGTTTTGCTAAATCAATCGACTTCTTATGTTGAATGAATAAATTGATTGTTATGATGGCAGTACGAAAGCAAGAATTGATTCAATTCTGTAGTTGTACCAAGGATCAAGTTCGTCTTATCAGGCTGGGATACATTGGGGGTGCGCCTGTTCATCCACAAGCAGCTTACTCCATCAGGCTTTTAAGGTTGCATCATGCTCTATGGAAGTATTGCACTGTTCGAACACAAGGTTTTACACTGGGTTTGGACGAATTCCTAGATGCAGCAAGCCCACTGATATTGGTGGAAAAGACAAAGCAAGTATGTAAATGATATGTTGTCCAACATTTGGTTTCAGGTATACTAAGATCTCTCTCTCGTGAAAGCCACGACTGTGGCGGAAGACATTTTCATCAGCAATCGACGCCTATAGATGGATTCTCCGCAAGGAGAAAGAACTCACGATTTGTGCATTATTTCTCACAGCTTTGGAACAGCTGGCTATGAACTGTCCAAGGTGTTTTGGACCACTTCAAGCAAATGAAGATGTGGACGAGTGTGACTATCATGTCTGCACTGATGGCAACTTTCAACATCGCCGGCATATGGCTGCAAGTCGTGAGTATGAGGAAATAGGGTTGGAGACTCCTCCACTTTTCCTGGATAATAGAAAGGTGGAGGAGTGGGCGGTGCGTGCTGGAAACCAAGGAAGAGATATTGATCCTGCGGTACTTACCTCTCTTATTTTTTTTTCTGCTTTTCGCATTTGTAATGCCAATTCCCACATGTGTGATGCGGATTCCCACATGTGGGAATGCGTGATTTC